TGTTTATTTAAACTTGGTAACTTGAATTTAACGTAGGTAAAGCTACTGTTAGCATTTTTGCTAACAGCTTCTTGTGTTTGGATAAGCTGTTACGTTTTGGTTTAGAGCTCATCTTTTTTGTGGTGTAGATCTCCCTTTTATTACATTTGAGCCCTTTTCAGACAGACATTCTGGAACATTTGCGGACAATTCAATCCGTTTTTTAACCGGAACTGTGTTTTCAGACACACTACTTTTGTACCGGAACTTGTCCTTTCGGCTGCGTTCAGACAGCAGGGAAAAGTTCCAGATGTCTGACGGCGGTGGGGGGGGGGGAATTTGGACTTATGTTAAGAAGAAGAAGAAGAAAATATCATTTCTATAGCGCCTCTCAAGATAAAAATTACGAGGCACTTAAGCATAGTTCTGCGCACACGAAGATGCATAATGGGCTCAACACACGGGAGGCAACATCGCCTCTCCTCCATTCATTTTCAATGAGACATGCGCGACAAAGCGATAATCGCAGGTCTCCCTCCTACCAAGCGAAACGCAAAAAAACGTGCGTGTGAAAGTTTGCACTCGTGCACGTGTCGTGCACGTGCGACCCAGCGATGCGATCCCAGAAAGTTGAAACATTTTCAACTTTTCATCGCTGTCGCTCGGGCGAGGACCAATCAACGGAGGTTTCATTCACTGACCAATGAGCGGGCAGGATGCTCCGCACTTCTCCGAGCAAACATGAAGGATAAGTTGATTATTATTATGTTTATATAGTAAAATCAGAAGTAAGATTTCACATAACTCTAGCAGCACCTTGTGAAACATCATATCTACCGCTTTATTAACTCTGAACCGCTTAAATAACCTTAATTCCCTCCAACCTGACACAGCCAAACAAAACAACGGAAGTTTCGATTTCGCCATGGAACAGAACGCGTAGACGGCTTTGCCGCTAGCCGCTGCCGCGGATCGCCTCCCGTGTGTCAGGTAATAAAAGCGACAGCGACAAATTTCGCTGATCGCGGTCGTTTGTTGCCTCCCGTGTGTCGAGCCCATAAGAGACCTGGATGATGAAGCTCAATGGTGAAAGGAATCACTGAAGCGGTGTGAAGCGCTCCGTCGCGCGTCTAGGCGGTACCGTAGGAGGCGAGCTGCCGTGGTTCGCCGCATGCTACAGGAGCGAGCTATCTGGGTGCGCACAGCGTCCCCCGGTCCCCTCCTCCTCCCCCTCCCCCTTGTCCGGAACTTTACCTCACCAGTCTGAAGCAGCCACCCTGTCCGTAACAAGTCCGGACCTGTTACTAGGGGCTTCGTCCGGATAAATTCCGGAACACGTTATCCGGATGTTTGTATTCAGACAGAAAGGTCTTACAGACCGAGTCCAGAACATTTCCGTTTTTCATGGCCTGTCTGAAGGGGGCTTTAGAGTGTTGTGGGTTTTCGGTTTAGTTTAAAATATCACCTTGAGTTTGGTTTAACCACCCAGTTAACCCCCAGACTCTGGAACTCTCTCCCCCTGTGCCTGAGATCAGTGGACTCAGTGGTCTCCTTCAAAAAGCAGCTGAAGCCTCACTTGTTCAAGCTGGCTTTTGTATGACCTTCTTCACCACTCTCTCTTTATTCTGCTCTCCCCACCTATTCCACCTTCCTCAGGATCCACTGATTTCCCTTTTTCCTATTCACTCTCTCTCTTTCTTAACATTTTTTCTTTTAAATCGCAATTGCTTATTCTTGCTCATTTTAAATATATTTTTAAACATTTTCGAAATGCTTTTTTATATTTTTACAATTTTTATATTTTTTTGTTTTTGTGAAGCGTCTCGTGAATTTTATCTTGAGAGGTGCTACAGAAATGATATTTTCTTCTTCTTCAGTTTAGAGTTTGGACCTTTGGAGATCCTTATTTTGGTCCAGAGCCCAGTAATCTTTGCCCAGTGGGACATCCCTACTTTTGTTTTAATTCCCCACAGGCAGAATTAGTTTTATTATTCCCAACCTGTGGATGGAAAGATTTATGTTTTTTTGTAGTTGTAAATAAACCTGATCATCATTTTAACTTTTAAATCCCGTGTTATTGTCCCTTCCTTTTTGCACACGAGCCAAACTCTCCAGGAAGGGTTGCAACACCACTCGCCTCAAGCACATAAGTGACCAAAACAAAGCAGCACGGCGACACTCCGTCTCCAACCACCTCTCAGGCAGCAGCCTGCACTCAAGTTCTACATGTCACCAGAACATAACCAACCACAACACAATAAAAGCAGTGTTATACAAAATGGAAGGCCTGTAGTGTTTATTCTCTTACAGTAACAATTTATTATTTTTTTGAGGAATTTATTAGAGATTTTTTGGTTTTTATTAACTGTGCAATAGAAAAATAATCGTTAGATTAATTATCTAAATAGTCATTAGAATAGTCGACTATTCGATAAAATAATCTTCAGAATAATCATTTTAAAAATAATCGTTTACCCCCAGCCCTAACACACACACACACACACACACACACACACAGTTGTATTAGGGATGAAAATCTGTAAAGATCTGTTTTTCTTGCAGAGAAAAGTGAACAGAAATTAGTGAGCATATTTAGATAATCATTGAAGTACCTAAACATGTTTTTTTATACATTAACTGTAAGCATGGTTGTAAATGACACAATACACAACTGAGTGGTCAGTGCAAAAACAGTACATAAAATACTTATTAGGTAAAATGAATAAATACATAGAAGCAAAGAAAAATCATGGTGCTTCAAGCGTGTTGAGTGTGTATTTAAGAGAGAAAGAGGGAGGGAAACAACTGAGGAAGGAGGAATGTCAAACACCATCAGCATTCCTATGTTTCTCCTTGCATTGCCTGCAGCAGCTTAACACTTTGTTTGCATCTTTTGTGTAACTTCACTGTTCATAAGTAAGCTATGGCCCATGAGAACATCTACTTAAAAAAGCAGCATTACAAGTGTAAAATTTGAGGTAAAAGGTGAAGAAAAAATAATAAAAATATATAAAAATAAAACATTACAATAATTTAGCTATTTTGGCCAGAATTTCATATATACTAAAATGGGAATAGGATACCATAATTTTCAGAGCAACTACTGAAATAAACATAAGCAACACAAGCTATCACACTAAACTCTGAAAATATGTACATGAACTGAAGACCTAGATTTATGTAAAAATGTTAAGAACGCCATAAACGAACTTGGAGTTGCACACAGTACAAAATCTACCAGTACTTGGTTTAAGGGCCATGCTATCCCTGTTCTTGATTGGCCAGCAAACTCCCCTGACTTTAACCCCAGAGAAAATCTATGTGGTTCTGTGAAGAGGACGATGTAATACACCAGACCCAATAATGCAGAAGAGCTGAAGGCCACCATCAAGAGCAACATGGTCTCTCATAACACCTGAGCAGCACCACAGACTGATCAACTCCATGCCACGCCACATTGCTGCAGTAATCCTGTCCAAAGAAGCCTCAGCTAAATACTAAGTGCAATACATGCTTCAGCTGGCCAACATTTGTAAAATTCCTTTTTTTTTTTTGCATTGGTCTTAATTGATATTCTAATTTTTTGAGACCCTGCATTTGGGATTTTCATTAGTTGTCAATTATAATCATCAAAATTAAAAGAAAACATGAACTATATCAGTCCCTGTGTAATGAATTAATCTAATATACAAGTTACACTTATTGAATGGAATTACTAAAATAAATCAACTTTGTTATGATATTCCAATTTATGATCAGCACACGTACATATTAAAAAAATCTAACCATGTCTTCAGGTATTTAACATAAATATATGTAAATTGTATTGATGTATAGAACCTTCATCAGGAGTATGAGCTCTTACAAAGAAAAACAAGAAATGTAAACCACTGAGTAAACCACTACATGTAGCCTATGTGAAATGACTTTGATTTGAAGTTTTTGGTTTCCATAAGGGCTTTAATCAGATTAGCTGGTAAGAAATGTGGACACTAGAGACCCAAAATACAACTATTGTTCAGGCAGACTTGCATTAACCATAACTAATGCATCTGGATAATATAATTCCTTTTTTTACTACATAAATAAAAAGCAGGTTAATTCCCTGACCACTGTGAGCAAACTCTGTGTCTACATATAGGACCTGCTTAATGACCTCTGATAGTGGACAGCAATTTCCCTTAATTACTTACAGGTGCGCTCACTGGGGCAACAATAATTCCCATGGTAAAGACACACAGATTAAAGCTGTATAGAAAACGCACACAACCCTACGTGATTAGTATAATCTCCAAATAATCCGGAACTAATGAATTCTACCCAGTTTGTACATCATCATTCATATTGTAGACAGGGAATTAAATCACCTCAAAATCTGGCTGTAATGTTACTTTTTAATGAGAAAAATAAATAAATAAACAAATACTCCTAAAACATTGTCTGAATTAAAGTGATGATTAATTATTAAGATTTAAATCCAAAATAATATTCTTCTATCGCTGACATCTCTTTAAATTCACCGTAGCAGCATTATCAAGGTTAAGTGTCCATTTTGAATGTTAGCTCTTGCTGATCCGACATCTGGCCAGCTGTGACATAGCTCTATAGTAGGTCATTGAACCATAACATGTTGAATTTGACAGAAAATGAGATGTAGCACCCATGTGAGACGATTTGAGACCGCTATACGTGTTTAAACTTTAAAAGTTGTCGGGTGTTTCGATAGGTTTAAGGAAGAAAAGTCAAGGTCTTGGTAATGTTACGTACCATTTAAAAGGAACCACGTAGCATATTACTCAAAATTAGGCCGAAATTAGACTTCCTCGTAGAGTGAGTTTAAGATACCTGAAAGGAGACTTTTACGAAGGATACAACTTAGCTTTTGAGGTCAGACACGAGTGATGGGCGGGCGGTGAGAGAGAGATGCTGTCTGCCGCGGATCCTCAGACGCAAAAACGTGATCGTAAAGAGCCCTGACTTTTTAGAAAAACAAAAACAAACTCCGTTTGATGAAGACTTACCGTGAGACAGCTGGATGAAGCAGAAGACCAGGACTAGAGACCTGCCCAGGGATAAACCGGGTATCTGCTCCATACTTTCAGTAAAATCCACATAGAGTTAGCCAGCCCAAAAGCGAGCAGCCTCTCTCAGGTCGGTGACTTCTCAAAAAAAAACAGTCTCGTTGGAAGCGGCTCGCGCTGGGTCTAAACGGTTAAAAACTAGCTTTAGCTCCGGGTTACAAACATGTCACCGTTCCTTTACACGTGGTCTACAAGACGCTGCCCCAAAAATGGACTTAAGAAAACACCCTTAAAGTTCAGCTCATCTGAATCCACACGGCGCTGAAAAGTCTCGCACCTCTCTTCGCTGCCCAGGCACTGGAGTCAGAGTGAGTGAGCGAGAGAAAACGCATATCCTTCCGCTGAAGTCAGTCTGGATCTATTCACAGGATAAAAAGTTGTCAAAACTAGTTAAAATAAAATATTGTGTCGAAATGAAGTAATTGTTTTACAGTTTAAAAAATAGTGTGTTCTATTATGTGTTTTCATCACGAGTAGATAGAAAAAGTGTACAAAATAAAGTTGTCGTTTTCGCGGTGTCGTCGTGGCGGAGGAATTTTTTTTCTCATTTTTCTACATAAGGCACAGTCTGGTATGACTCAAAATGAACCCGTTCACTTTTTTCTCTCTTACCGTGAGCTGCGCGTTTTTTCCCGGTATGTCTTTTAACTCCCACACGTTTGTAAGTCATTATTTACGTTTTTGCATAAATTAATACCTGCTTTCCTTTTCAGCAAGCAGCCGTTTCCAGGTAATCAGGATGAAACAATAAAAAAACCCATATGTCCTGTGAATAGATTAAAGTTGATGTGTGTTGGTTTGGTGCTGATTTAATGTTTATTTTCCAGGTTACTCAGGTGAAATCTGAAGCCAAATTGTTAAATTGTGAAATAAATGACTAATAAAAAAAACTTTCAAAGCTGTTTTACTAATATACAAATGCTATTTTAAAATTTATAATTATAAACCCTTATTAACAACATATATGACAAAAAATCCATAACATTTTCAATGTTTCTCTCATTTTAACAATTAATTAAACAAAAAACATTATTTAAAGATAATTCATAGAATGTTTAAAGGAACAGTATTCCTTGTTTCCCACTTGATTAGGAATTTGTCTGTTGTTGCTACTTTTTCTAAATCACAGGTGGCTGTTCATCTTTTAAAGAAAGTTACAAAAGACAGATAACATTCCTACCCTCCCACTCTAACACAAACACCCTCACTCACTGACCAATTTGGACAGGTCTGAGAAATCCCAGACTAATGATCCCATATCACCACAAATAATCCAGGTGTAAATCATAGGCTCAACCCCAGTGATTTGTTTGTCTTTACACCCCATTAGAAAAACACTGCAGAGCCTCCTTGTGCAGTGTGTGGCCCTTTGTCCCCTATTCAACCGTGCTGAAAGGCCTGGGACCAGAGGAGAGCAAATTGATCTCCCCAGGGGGTCCATGCTGACAATGCATTTGTTGCTGTGGCCGGTGTCAGACTCTTGCGCTTCGTGTGGTGGGTTGTCAGGTGCAGGCAAAACAGAAAATACCACCAGGCCTGTTCTTGTCAAACCGTGCCTCGTCTGTACTTTTCACTCTGAGAGCAGAACTTTTTATTCCTGTTTTGTTCATTTTTGGCTTCATTCAGATGCTCAACAGTAACGTGACATGAATCTGAATCGGTCTGTCTGCAGTGCTGTTTTCTTAGTGATGTCACTCCAGATGTGGGCTTCTGTAGTTTGGGAGACACGGGATGAGTGAGGGTGTGGCGCAGCCGCATAAGTAGAAAATACTGATTAGATTCTCTTTGCCGGCGCTCTGATGAAAGACCTCTGAGAGAGAAAAATAACATTCAAAAGCAACAAGTTGGGAAAGCTCCATCTCACGGATGAAGTAGATCCATTTCAGACACTTTTTCAGCTTGTTTATCATAAACCCAAAGTTCAGATTTAGAACTCCGATTAGAAATCTCTTCAATTTTAACTGGCAGCAAATAAGTAAAGATAATGACAAAGTTTTTATGTGAAAAGTTTAAAAGCTGCTCTGACATATTTGTATTTTGCTTCCAGTAAATTCTTAGGGGTATGAATTGGCAAGAATTTGGTGATACAATATGTATCACGATACAGGGAAGCCCGTACGATATATATATTGCAATTTAACTCATTTGCTGATCGAAAAGCCCCTGGTTGCCAGTGTTTTTGATCATTTTTATTGTTTTTTTGAAGGGTCACAGTGTCACAACTGTCACACCCGGTCATGTCTCCCCGTTTAGTTCAGCCTTGTGTCTCGTTGATTACTCCCACCTGCCTCTCGTTTCCCAATCACCTTAGCTCCCAACCCTCCTGTATTTAAACCCTGTCTGTTCTATGTACTGTGTCGGATCATTGTTTCATTGTCCAGCGTGCTTCAGTATTAAAACCCTTTGAATGTGCTCACCTGTCTGCCTGTTTTCCTGCTCCGCGTTGGATCCTCATCTCAGCTCCGTTCCTCTCAGCAGCGCGCTGACAGAATGATCCGACCCAAACCCGTTGTGAGATCCAGCGAGGAGATTCTCCCGTGGGAGCACCTGCTTCAGTGGCTCACTCCGAGCCACCACCCAGCTTCTCCATCGCCTTCCCCTGCTTCAGTTCTGCCTCGCAGAAAACGCCGTCCTCGGCCATCAGCCGCAGCAATCCTCGCTGCTCTCCCGGAACCGGACGAGGGGTCGGACCGGGAGCCGCTTCCGGATCGCTCCAGCTTCGTGGGCACCCGCCTGGCTGTGTGCTCCCCGGGAGTTGGCCCACGGCGTGGGGAGGCATGCCGGGCTCCACCGCAGCGGCTGGTCCCTGGACGGAGCCGCGAGCTCGCTGCAGTTCTGGCTCAGTGCGCCAACTTGGACACGCCCCCAGTCAGACCAGCAGTCCCGTCTCCGGTCCAACTAGCGCCTTCGTCATCTGCAGGCGGAGGAACCACGCCCACAGCCCAGCTGATGGAGCTCCAGGCGGAGCTTGACCGGATCCGCCAGCTCGTCAGCCTCCAGGAGAGTCACCTGGACACTCTATCCTCCCCGAACCGCCAGGAGAGGAGTGAGCCCGTCCACCCAGCGGAGCTCGCTGGTCTCCGGGCTGAACTGGCCCAGCTCCATCGAACCCTCAACCTCCAGGAGCTCCAGCTGGACGGGCTGTCCCCCCTGCTCTCACGGCTTCCAGCCCTACCAGTTCCACCACTTCCAGTCCAGCCTGTCCAGGCAGCCCCTCCTGCAGCTGCCTCGCCTCCACTCCAGAGGGCCCAGAAGCAGAAGGGACGGGCTCAGAAGCAGAAGGGATGGGCCCAGAAGCAGACGGTTCCGGTTCTGGCCCCGAAGCGGACGGGTCGGCCCCAGCAGTCGGCGGTCCAGCAGTCGGCGGTCCAGCAGGCGGCGGTCCAGAAGTCGACGCCCCCGGACCAGAAGTCGACGCCCCCGGACCAGAAGTCGACGCCCCCGGACCAGAAGTCGACGGTCCAGAAGTCGACGGTCCAGAAGTCGACGGTCCAGGGCTCTGTGGCCGACGCCCCTGCCAGTCCTGTGGCCGACGCCAGTCCTGTGGCCGACGCCTCTTCCTCGTGTTCTGAAGTCGACGCCTCTTCCTCGTGTTCTGAAGTCGACGCCTCTGATGACGTCGCCTGTCCAGAAGTCGACGCCTCTGATGACGTCGCCTGTCCAGAAGTCGACGCCTCTGATGACGTCGCCTGTCCAGAAGTCGACGCCTCTGATGACGTCGCCTGTCCAGAAGTCGACGCCCCTGATGACGACGTGTCCGAAGTCGTCGCCCCTGATGACGACGTGTCCGAAGTCGTCGCCCCTGATGACGACGTGTCCGAAGTCGTCGCCCCTGATGACGACGTGTCCGAAGTCGTCGCCTCTGATGACGACGTGTCCGAAGTCGTCGCCTCTGATGACGACGTGTCTGAAGTCGTCGCCTCCTCCTCTGATGACGTCCCGTCTGATGACGTCGCCTCCTCCTCTGATGACGTCGCCTCCTCCTCTGATGACGTCCCATCTGATGACGTCGCCTCCTCCTCTGATGACGTCCCGTCTGATGACGTCGCCGCCACGTCCGATGACGTCCCGTCTGATGACGTCCCGTCCGATGACGTCCCGTCCGATGACGTCCCGTCTGATGACGTCCCGTCTGATGACGTCGCCTCCTCCTCTGATGACGTCCCGTCTGATGACGTCGCCGCCTCCTCTGATGACGTCCCCGAAGTCGGCTCGTCCGATGACATCGCCGCTGCCTCGTCTGGGGATGCTCTTTGCACTCAAGAGGCCGACGCTCCATCCAGCCCGGCGTCTCCACGGTCTCCGGTTCCGATGGTGGTTTTGAGGGCAACGCCGGCCCAGCCTGCAGTGACTTTGTCGCCGGTCCAGCCTGCAGTGACTTTGTCGCCGGTCCAGCCTGCAGTGACTTTGTCGCCGGCCCAACCTGCAGAGCTCCTCTTCTGCCGCAGGCGCCGGCCTCCAAGGGCCCGTCGCCTCCTCATCTGCCGCAGGCGCCGGCCTCGAAGGGCCCGTCGCCTCCTCATCTGCCGCAGGCGTCGGCCTCGAAGGGCCCGTCGCCTCCTCATCTGCCGCAGGCGTCGGCCTCCAAGGGCCCGTCGTCTCCTCCTCTGCCGCAGGCGCCGGCCTCCAAGGGCCCGTCGTCTCCTCCTCTGCCTCAGACGCCGGCCTTCCAGTGCTCGTCGTCTCCTCCTCTGCCTCAGACGCCGGCCTTCCAGTGCTCGTCGTCTCCTCCTCTGCCTCAGACGCCGGCCCCCAGAGCTCGTCGTCTCCTCCTCTGCCTCAGACGCCGGCCTCCAAGAGCCTGTCGTCTCCTCCTCTGCCTCAGACGCCGGCCTCCAAGAGCCTGTCGTCGCCTCCTCCTCTGCCCCTCTGCTGGTCCCTCTGTTCCTCTGGGCCCTTCCTCCTGGTTCCCCTCCTCCCACCCTGCTCCTCGTTCCTGTGGGCGTCTGGGATCCGCCCCTTGAGGGGGGGGTACTGTCACAACTGTCACACCCGGTCATGTCTCCCCGTTTAGTTCAGCCTTGTGTCTCGTTGATTACTCCCACCTGCCTCTCGTTTCCCAATCACCTTAGCTCCCAACCCTCCTGTATTTAAACCCTGTCTGTTCTATGTACTGTGTCGGATCATTGTTTCATTGTCCAGCGTGCTTCAGTATTAAAACCCTTTGAATGTGCTCACCTGTCTGCCTGTTTTCCTGCTCCGCGTTGGATCCTCATCTCAGCTCCGTTCCTCTCAGCAGCGCGCTGACACACAGATTATTGTGCTCTATGAGCATGTACTGTAAACACCAAAACTACCAAAAGAAAGAGGAGACTCACT